GAAGGGAAATCAAAGTATCACATAAACATTAAAAAATGAGATTTAAATAGATTTTGAAGCAAATGTAAATAAAATGTCGTGAGATTATTAAATATTTGGTTCTTTAAAGTGAGTTTATTAGGGCAAAATGGCCAGTCGGCAGTGCTCTGTTTGCATAGCGAGTGAAGTGGCCATTCGATCACCTTATGATTGATCTGTTATGATCACTTGATATGGAGTGGTCGATGGGTGACAGCATGAGAAGTTTATGCTGCATGAACTGGGTTAAAATGGGTAGTTTTTAACAGGATATAGTCAAGATACAGTACGTAGTATTGAATAGGATCAGCAGGTAGTTTGGAAATATTAGAAGCACTGTTTTTGGACGACCTGCGTGCTCAAATTTACCCAAGAACATGGGAATTTTTGGTACCATTGGAAAGAAGAGATTCTAAACTTTCAGATGGTATATATATTGTCGAAGGATTCGGTTTAGTTGTGAAGATATAGATGGATTTCTGAAGATATATCAATTCTACGTCGATCACTAATACATTACTATAGGAATATCACGGGTACCATCTTCTAACGACCTGTCTGCTCAAGTTTGCCCACTAACATATCAATATTTTGGTACCATTGGATAGAAGAGATTCTAAGCTTTCAGAATATTATATATTTTGTCGACGGATTTTGCTTAGTTCGAAAGATATCGATGGATTTCTGAAGATATATCAATTTAATGTCGATCATTATACATTACTATAGGAATATCACGGGTAGTATCTTCTAACGACCTGTCTGCTCAAGTTTGCCCACTAACATATCAATATTTTGGTACCATTGGAAAGAAGAGATTCTATGCTTTCAGAATATTATATATATTGTTGAAGGATTTTGCTTAGTTGAGGAGATATCGATGGATTTCTGAAGATATATCAACTTTACGTCGATCATTCATACATTACTATAGGAATATCACGGGTACCATCTTCAAACGGCCTGTCTGCTCAAATTTGCCCATTAACATATCAATATTTTGGTACCATTGGAAAGAAGAGATTCTAGGCTTTCAGAATATTATATATATTGTCGAAGGATTTTGTTTAGTTGAAGAGATATCGATGGATTTGTGAAGATATCTATGCCGCCGAGCGATTTTAAGCGCCAATCTGCATTAAACATTTGATCTTATGGAGATCACTTTGATTTGATACATTATTGTGGGAATTATTATTGTTATTATCAATTACTGAAGGATTACGCAGTGGATTGTGAACAATCTCAAGATGGTCGTCGCTCCAGCAGTTGCCACAGTTTAAATTTTCGGTTTTTTTTCTGGGCAAAAATGACCACATTCTCGGGTAAATTGCTGGGAAGGTCAACATTGAGGGTGAATTTTCGGGTAAATTACTAGGACTGGCATAATTTGGATGGGAAACATCACCGCCGTGGGCATGTTTGCCCAGTGGACAACTCGGGTGATAAGCTGATAAGCTGCGCACTGATAAGCGGAAAAGAAAAGTGCCCAATTGAATTCGAATCGTCGTCGCTGCAGCCGTCTGTCACTCTCGATCAGTACGCTGTTTTGATCACGCTCCTTATCACTGGCTGATCAGCGCCAACCGATTGTGATTGATTTCATTGATCACAAGAGGGAATATAAGCTGATCTGAAACAGCCTCAGTCGCCTTGCTGCGGCAGGTCCGAAGGGGTGCTGTTGCCATATCGGTGTGATCACCTGCGTGCACCTGATGATCACACGGACATGACCGTACGTATGAATACGGACTGGTGCACCACGTGTTTATGCATATGAAAAATGCAGCGTTGAAAATGACCGTCGCAGGAAGCAAATTTTGCATTTTTTTCACATCACTTTTACCCAGTGTTCGGGTAAACCAGACACACAGATTTCCCACAGGAACGGGCAATATTTGATTGTATCGATAACGCAATCAATCACACCAGTGACCAGTGAAGTTGAAGCAGTTTTTCAGTTTGAAATGCTGCTACCTAATATCAACCGCCAAAGCCAAAAAATTACTGATGAATCACACAAATTGTAAACAACACTGAGATTGCTCTAGCCGTCTGTCACTCCGCAATTACGAACTATTTCCGTGTTCCTTTTCATCACTCACTTCATTGCTGCCAACCGGCTGTCATTACTTTCAAAATTTACATGGGTTAATATAAGGGAGTCTTGCATCACATCTAATGTAACAGATCCGAAGGCGCATGGTTATCTGATCCCCCGTGTGCCGATAACATGATCGTTGCAAAAACTTTTCCATTTTTCCAATCACTCACAAATGGTTATTTTTTTAATTTTTACCCATTGTATGGGTAAATCGAACACAAAATTCCCACCGGGAAGGGTAATATTCAGTTATATCGATAACGCAAGATTTGAAATTTGGTGCTCCACTGGTATGACTCTGACTTTTGCTTCACATCAGCATCTAGTAACTTCAACAAATTGGCTGAAACTCAGCAGCAGCAGTTGAGTGGGTTAAATGTGAAAAGCGCCGGAAAACGGAATGGAAATGGAAAATTTCAATGGAAACTGGAAAATTTGAAAAAATGGAAAGCAAATAGAATGGAAAATTTCAAAAATTTCTGAAAAATTTTCCAAAAAATCACAATTTTCCAATGTACCACATCATTTTTTAAATAGTACTTTGACTTTAATGTGTATTCAGCAGATGATGATGATGGAATAACTTCGTTTCAATCAATCAATAAAATTTAAAGACCTAAAAAAAGCCCAGAATCAGATAATTTATTCGCCCATCAGCCGCCATCTGGCCAGCCAGCCCAACCCAGCCCAAACATCTGGCTGCATATATAATTTGCTCCGGAGCCTAAGCTGCTTATATAATTTGCTCCGGAGCCTAATTGTATGCCTAAGCCTAAGCCTAAGCCGAATTCTAAGCCTAGGCCGGCTAGAACGCTCTCCACTGGATCGACTTTAACTGCTTGCAGCACTATAGCATCCAATAAACCCATTATTTCAACCTGGATCCTGTTATTAGACTGAATATTTTTTAATTTTTGCAAATAAGGATTTATAAATTGGTTATTTTTGCTGGAAACGGAATATTTTTCGGAAAATTTTGGAAAATTTTCCGATTTTTCCTGTTCTATTTT